TGCACCCACAATGGGTTATCCGGAAGTTCCTGGCTCCTGCCTTCGGATCAGCAGAACTCTGGCAGTTGTGGCCATTTGGGAAGCGAACCAGCGGAAGCAAGATCTGTCTCCTCTCTATAAATCTGTCTTTCCGGTGAAAGATACAAAACGCAAAAAAAGATGAGACCACTCACCCCATATAAGAGAACTGAGTGAGGGAAAGCAGAAACTTGGAGCTTGGGCGTGTTGACTGAACTCTGGAGAACGTGTACGTGGGTCTGAAGCTCACATGACATCATTGCAGTGACAAGCAAGACGTGAGGGCGGCCCGCGCACAGGTGCCAGCTCGAGCCATGGATGTGATCACGCAGGAGGCTGCGTGGATGCTGAGCAGGAAGTCAGGAATGGGACTCTGGGACAAGTGGAGAACAAGCAGCTCCGTAAGACGAGGTGGAGACAGTAAGACATCGAGACGCGTTCAACAGCGCAGGATAAGCATGTGCTTTTGCGACACTCCCTTCTCAACGTTCAGCAAGGGTGAGTATTTGGGCTCTTACTAGAATCAACCAGCAGTATTTTTCATCTTTTTCATTGCAGTCATTTTCAGGGTAATGTTAATAACTAACCTTAGGCACATGGCAAATGCATCCATTTCCCAGGGTTGCCATACCAAACTATTACAAAGTCGGTGCCTTAAAACAGCGGACATCTTTTCTTTTGCTTTTCTGGGGACCCCAAGTCTGAAACCAAGATGCTGTTGAGGGGTGGTGGTCCCTCTGGAGGTTCCCTCCGCTCTGTGTTGGTTGTGCCTCCTAGTGGCGGTGGCCAATCACGGTGTGCCGTCCACCTCTGCCTCAGTAGTCACTGTCACAGACTGACAGGCACGGTGGCCACATGACCCCAGCATAAAGGGGTCCGGGTGATACATCAGGGTGGGGCAAAAACACGCATCTTTTAGGTGGGTACCACATTTTGACACTCGTCTCCTTCAGTTTAACAGGAGCTCAAAGTCAGCTAAGTTCACTTTACAGAAAAGTTATACACTGAAAATCTTTTGTGGGTCCAGCACAATGGCCTAGCGGCTAAAGTCCTCACCTTGAACGCCCCGGGATCCCATATGGGCACCGGTTCTAATCCCGGCAGCTCCACTTCCCATCCAGCTCCCTGCTTGTGGCCTGGGAAAGCAGTCGAGGATGGCCCAAAGCTTTGGGACCTTGCACCCGTGTGGGAGACCTGGAAGAGGCTCCTGGATCCTGGCTTTGGATCAGCATAGCATCGGCCGTTGTGCTCACTTGCGGAGTGAAACATCGGACAGAAGATCTTCCTCTCTGTCCCTCCTCCTCTCTGTATATCTGACTTTCCAATAAATAAATAAATCTTAAAAAAAAAAAAAGAAAATATTTTGTGTAATACATCAGCTGCTATGGGAGACAGCCCTCTCAACTGTATTAAGCAGAATGAACCTGGGATGAGGGTTGGGAGCAATATGAAATCACGAAGTTTCCCCGAAGCTTGGGAGCCTGATTTGACAGTTTCTGTGGCCTTCCAGGCAGATGGCTACTCTAATGGACTTTGTTTCAAACTTTTTAAGTAATGCAAGGTGTGGCAAAGGACTGACTATACATCTATTTGCAAGACAAAAAAGCACCTTTTCCTTCGCTGTCATTAAATATTGACCGTGCACTGTGGCCTTCCTGGCACAACAAGGGATTGAGTGAGCTAAGGCCTTAGAAAGTTCTTCCCCTGGGAGGACAATGGTGAAGAGGGGGGTTAAGTGTGGATGGATACACGGAGGTGATACTAAGCTACGACTTCAGGGTCGCTTTTCCCTTACCACTCTTAGCTTCTTACTCCCTTACGTTTGCGACATTTCCCAGGGTCTCCAAACCGTATTCCAAATCAAGCACCAGGAGCGAGGACCCCGAGAACACGCCTGCGAGGCTGTCTGGCACCCAGACCCACGAAAGGTCCCTGGGTCCCGGCTGCTGGGGAGGCGGCGTCAGACAGTACGAGCTCCAACAGCGCACTGTGCTGCTAAAATCCTATAGCTAGCAAGTGGGATCCAGTATGTTTTTCAAAGTCACACACACACACACACACGCACACACACACCCGCGTGCCCGCACACGCTCCCCAGATGCAATGGGAAGAAAGAAAACCGGGTCGTGCCACTCCAAATCAGATTTGGGGACTGTCCTCGAACTGCGCGTCTCCAGACGGGGCGCGCAATCCCCTCTGAACTCCCTCTGTAGGCCACAGGGAAGTCTGGCTGAAAAGCCAGCTTGGGATAACCGGTGGCTCGAAGGGGGACCGCGCTGGGCGCCGGCTCCCGCCTCGGGCCGCTGAATCGTCCTTGTCGTCGCACCAACCCTTGCCAGGCCTCTCCTACTTCCTTCTCCCACCGGCCCCCGCCGCCCGTCTGCCCAGTACGGGTCCCTGGAACCGCGCCTCCCCGCAAAAGAGCCCCATCCGCCTCCCCACGAGGACCGACAGGATCAGGGAGCAGAATTCCTGTGGGTCCCGGGAGTGCCAAGAGTCCCGGAGCAAGACGGGAAATTGCAACAGCCCTCCCCCCGCGGCCCTCCCCCGCGGCTTTCCCGTAACGCCCGCCCTCGGCGCTCGTCCCGCAGCTGATTCATAGCCCGGGAGGGCGCGGGGGCCCCTGGGCACGTCAGCCCCGCCGTCCATTCCCGCGTCCGCACTTGGCGCCTCACGCGCCGCCGAGGACTCGGCCCGGCGCTCGGAGCCCGTCGCCCGCCCGCTCGCCCGCCCGCGCCGTGAGTACCCCTTTCCCACCGTGGAGCGCCGTGCCGCTGGGCCTTCGGCGCCTCCTTCGGCGACTTCCGACGGGCGCAGTCGTGGCGCGGCGCGGGAACCGAGCGGCCCTCAGCGTCTGGACGCGGCCGCGGGGTCGCGGGCCTCACTCGGTCGCGCGCCCCTCGCCGGCGTGCGCGCCTTGGTTCCGGCGCGGCTCCCCGCCTCCCGCCCGCCCCCAGGTAAGGGTCGCTGCAGCCCGGCGGCCCTCGGCGCTGCCCCCCGCTCCCGGCCTGCCGCCGCCTGCGCCCCCGGTGCCCCTGGGGATGTCTGAATTCCCACCTGAGTTCCTTCCGTAACCCCACCGACTGCAGTTTCCGCGGAAAGGTGTCTGTCTGCACCCTTCCCTGTCAGACACAGAAGAGGGAGGCGCGGGACCCAGGGGAGGGAAATATCCCGGGATTTCCGTGCTAGTGTTTGATGCAGAGGGTAACCCTTTCCCCTTAACCGCGTAGCTTTGAGAACCTAAAAAAACCTAGGTGCAGAGGGGTTCAGCGTCGTGTTCAAGGCCACCTCGTGGACTCTGGGGGTACAGGAACGGGAGCCCCAACTCTCAGGCCAGGACATTTTCCTTAGCACCGCGATTCCCTCCTTGAACAAGGTGGTTGATAGGTCCTTGGTTCTTCTCCCGTGCACACGCATCCGTGCATCCCGCCTTCCGCGCTTGGAAGCACCACGCAGAACGCTTCGGAGAGAGCCGGCTGTCGGCTATTCCTGCAACTCAGAGAGTCTGTGGGCTGCCAGGTCGGGTAGCAGAGGGGACAGAATTGAGCCCGGTGTCTAATTTGAGCTGGAAGAACACTCGTGGAGAAAGAAAGCAGCTTCTGTGTTCATCTTAGGTCTAGCCCACTTTGGGACTTGGGTCACGATACTCACGGCCTCTCGGCCTTGTTTTCTTATTTGCACACTGACATCGCATTGTGCAGAGTGTGCACTGGGCTCACACCTGTCCCCTCGACTAAAGGGGCTAACTTGTCATCCTCGTTTCGTCACCGAGGAAGTCGAGGTCCAAAGAGGTCATCACTTGTTTATTGTTCACACGACGAGCAGGTGGCAGAGCCAGGATCTAACTTTTTTACTCCATCAGGAGCCCAGACCCTCAAGGTCTGGGACTCTTTTCTTTTCTGTCTGGTGCTGGCTCTGACCCGAGCTCTTCAAGATGTACTCAGTGCTGGCTGTTGGACAAGGGGTGAATACGCCTGTCCCTCTGTCTGCCGCTTGTTAGAGTGCCTGCTTTGGTACCCCTCTGAGCTGGTAACTCTGGTTTTTTTCTTTTGCAAATGCGGACCCTGGGAGCAATAGATTGCATCCCCAGTGCCCACATAGGAGGCCTGCCTTGGTTTCCTGGCTCCTGGTTCCGATCCTGTTCTATTCCTAGCCATTACGGGCATTTCAAGAATAAACCAGCCAATGCCAATGTGTGTGCATTCTCGCTCTCTCTGTCTCTCCCCACCCCTCCCTCCCTCCTCCCTTTCAAAATTTAAAGACATTTCACAGCACATTCAGAGACTATGGAGACTGAGGCACCCCAAGTGGGCATAGCAGTCCGGGATTCCCAAACTTAGCTATTTCTGGGAATCACTCCTGAAGTTCTGACCATCACAACTCAACTGTTCATTCTCTTGTCCAATTGGATGTCTGTCCTGCCTCCTCCTCCCTACCAGCCCCCCAGTTTAGTCCAGTAGTACTTCAAAAAAATTAAGCTCATTTTGATGCAGTGAAGTTTGGAAGTGCCTGCACAGTGTTTGGGAGGGCGCGTTCACCCTGAGCCTTGCGCAGTCCTGTAGAGCTGCGAGGTGGCGGCAGGAAACTCGCTCCCCAGCCTGTTGTTGTTGGACAGAGCTGATAGCCAGCTGGAACTGCCTGTCTGCCCACGTCCCTGAGCCCTGTCTCCCTGCTGTGTGACAGAGGCAGCTGTGTGAGAACAGGGCTGGGGTGGCAAGCCGGCGAGGGGTGATCCTTCGTCTGACGCGAGGAAGGAAGGGGTGAGTTTTTTCCTGTGGGAAGCCAGCTGGAGCGCCGGCTGGTTCCCGTCGAAGGAAATCTCAGTGAGTGCCTCACAGGAACAGGAAGCCCCAGCTCTCCTGTCCCCGGGGAGGTGGTCTTTTTTTTTTTTTTAATGATTTATTTGTTTTTATTGGAAAGGCAGATTGACAGATGAGAGGTCGTCCATCCACTGGTTCACTCCCCAGTGGCTGCAATGAGCCGATCTGAAGCCAGAAGCTTCTTCTGGGTCTGCCACTCAGTGCAGTGGGAGTCTCACGGCGCTGGCAAGGTGAGGATTTAGCCACTTGAGCCGTCATGCTGGGCCCAGAAGGTAGTCTTTGTTGAATAAAATGAGATCGTGTGAGAGATTGAAAATCAAAGCAACTAGAATGCAGGAGAAAGGGCCCACCCTCCAAGCCCACGTTCTGCTGTCAAGCAAGGGTCTCTCGGCCGTGGCAGCTGGGTCCTTGGCATCACAGCCATGCTTCTCTCCTCGACGTTCCAGTGGGTCCTTAGCTTCCCTTGACTACAGGCTCTATGGCTGCATTTAATTTATTTTTTTAATTGTTCAGTATGGGGGTGGGTGGGGCCCAGAGGGAAAGTTGCCAGCTGGGCTGCTGGCCTCTCAAATCACCCGGGGTTAACTCCTCCTGATTCTAGCTTCCTACTCATTTGTCACTCTGTGAAGCAGCAAGTTCAAGTTGTTGGGTTCCTGCCACCCACGTGAGAGTGCCAGCTCCTGGAAGCCTGGTTCTGGCTGCTGCAGTCACTTAAGGGGTTAACCAGTTGTGTGTTGGGGGGGCAGGGCGGGGAGGCTTTCTCTGTCTCTCAGGTAAATTAATTAAAAATTCAAAATGTTTAATTTGCTGGGGTGCAACGGGTCAAGCTGTCGCCTGTGAGGCCAGCAACCTGCGTGGACACTGGGTTCAAGTCCTGGGGTTCCCTGCTAATGCACCTGGGAAGGCTGCAGAAGATGGCCAAATTATCTGATCCCTGGCGCCCATGGGAGAAACCCGGGCTCCTGACTTCCCGACCCTGCCCCATCCAGTGTGGCCATTTGGAGAGTGAATCAGTAGATGAAGGAGCTTTCTCTCTCTCTCTCTCTCTCTCTCCCCTTCCCAGTCACTCTGTCACTCTGCTTTGCAAGTAAATAAAGTTCAGTAAGTCACGTTTAAAAAATAAGACTACATCTAATAACTAAATACACATTCATGTAGACAACATAGAAGCCTGTGTTTACCGGTACCAGTCAGAAGTGTAAGTTTGGTACTTGTCATTCCAACTCTTTTTCCTTGACCTTTAAAAAAAATTTTCGTTTCAAAATGTTTGTTACGTAGGTGAGGGGATTGCAGACCCACAGGTCTCTGGGTGGGATGAGAAGGGATGTGGTGGGGAAGGTGTGCGACGGGAAGACCCCACTCTCTCTCCTGTGACCCTCAGTTGGGGGGGAGGCAAATGTCACGTGGCTCCTTGCTGCCCTGTCACAGCAGCGCCAGGGGACAGGGACCCTGACCAGGGAGGAATGTCCTGAGGTGCTACCTGAGTAGTTTCTATTGTACCTTTTCCTTTTCGGTAGATTTACATTATATTACACATGTAAGTTTTTAAATCTGTCTTTTTAAAAAGATTTACATGTTTATATGAAAGACAGTTGCAGAGAACAAGGAAGAGAAAGAGAGAGAGAGAGTGCGTCCATCTGATAGTTCACTCCCCCAATGATTGAGGCTGGTCCAGGTCAAAGCCAGGAGCCTGGAGCTCCAGGTGGGTCTCCCATGGGGGTAACACTTTGGCCATCTTCCACTGCCTTCCCGGGCACATTAACAGGAAGCTGGATTGTAAGTGGGACAGCAGGAACTCAAATAGCGCTCTGATACGGGATCCCAGCATTGTAGACAGAGGCTTAATCTGCCACAAGAAAATTCAAACCCCCAAATCTGTTTTAATTATGTAAATTTTCTATGCTTACTATTGGACACTTTTTTTTTAACCTTTGGAGTCATGGAGGTCTTTCCATGGTGTTATTGATGACCACATGCCATAGCATATACTTGAGCCATCTTTTCCTTTTTAAAAAAATTAGTTATTTTCATTGGGAAAGCAGATTTCTAGATAGAAGGAGAGACAGAGAGAAAGATTTTCCACCTGCTGGTTTACTCCTCAAATCACCACAATGGCAGGAGCTGAGCTGATCCAAAGCCAGGAACCAGGAGCTTCTTCCAGGTGTCCCACTCGAGTGTAGGGTCCCTAGGCTTTGGACCATCCTCAACTGCTTTCCCAGGCTACCAACAGGAAGCTGGATGGGAAGTGGAACAGTCGGGACATGAACTAGCATCCACCCAGGATCCGTGCTAGGAGGTGGAGGAATAGCCAGTTGGGTCCTTGTGCCAGCTCTTCTTTTGAGATTTTTTTACAATTCTGGTAAAATACTAGTAATATATATACACGTAATTTTAATTACATTTTGCTGTTACTACTCCAGTTTGATGCTTCTATGTATATATTAGGCGTTGAGTGAGTTTCCTGCTCTGTCATTGCTCATTGTTCTATGGAGTTGCTATTTCTTACTACTATTTGTTGCAGAAGTAGTGTAGGTATTCTGCCTGTTATAGAGGATGCGAATATTTCTCTTGGCACAGAACACTTTCCCAGTTGTTTCTATGGTGATAAAATACACAGAACGTGATACTTACCCTCTGTATTAGTCAGCTTTTCTTTACCTTCCTAAAATATGTGGGGAACTTTTTAATAAGGGGAGCGCTTATTTAAATTTACGCCATGGAAGTTCACAGTTCAAGATTTGGTGTTCCCTCAGGAGCCCCAAAATCAGCGCAGATAGAGAGACTAATATAGGAGTTTTGAACAGACAGGGAAAAGTCAGCTGGCCTGTAATTTCTCAGCCTGTACCCTACTGGTCAGGCTTCCGCTTTAGCTTTTCCTAGAGCTCACCTGGCAGGCGGTAGAGCTCAGTTATTCCTCACTTGCTAAGTTATTGGGGATTTCTCTGCTCACCTGCCTAAGACTGTTGTACTCTTCAGTTGTTAATATATGGCTTGTTAGAGTTATCACATCGTTTTGATTACCCTAAAATGCATGAAGTTCTGTAAAATTTTGCTTGAATACTATAAACTGTTAGGTTTAGAAAAAGAAGAAGAAAAGATTTGGTGTTCCCATTAGTCTAGTGTCTGGTGGAGTCTGGCCATGGCCAAGTGTGTGTGGAAGAGCAAATCCATGTCCAGCCTGAAAGCCGAGAGGGCGCGGGGACACACCTGCATAGGAGAGAAACCCTGGTGGTGGGGACACTCCAGCCCCACCCCATAACTTCCTAGCAGGCCCACCTAGCAGAGGTCATATTTTTTTAAAAAAAAGATTTATTTATTTTTATTGCAAAGTCAGATATACAGAGAGGAGTAGGGACAGTGAGGAAGATCTTCCGTCTGACAGCTGGAGCTGAACCAATCTGAAGCCAGGAGCCAGGAGCTTCTTCTGGGTCTCCTACGCGGATGCAGGGTTCCAAGGCTTTGGCCCGTCCTTGACTGCTTTCCCAGGCCACAAGCAGGGAGCTGGATGGGAAGTGGGGCTGCTGATATTACAACCAGTGCCCATATGGGATCCCGGCATGTTTAAGGTGAGGATTTTAGCTACTACGCTATCGCACCGGGCCCCAGAGGTCATATTTAAAACATAACCTCTTACCCTTCATCCGTCAGCCATCAGCATAGGACTTTTGGGTTAAAATGTTTGTGTTTGGGGAGCTGAGTGTTGTTTAGGCATTCACACTGTCATACCCATTTGCAAACATGTGTTAGGTACATTCATGCACAGTGCTAGGCAGCCATCACCACCAGCCATCTCCGGAACCCTTTTCTCTAACAAAACCAGACCCTGTAGCCACTGAATACTAACTCTCCACATCCCCTTCCTCGGCTCCTGGCAACCGCCGTCTTACTGCCTGCCTTTTTAAATTTGACTTTTTTTTTTTTTTTTTTTTTTGAAAATCAGATAGAGCAAGAGGAGAGACAGAGAGGCAGATCTTCATTTGCTGGTTCACTCACCAAGCAGCTGCAATGGCCAAAGCTGCACCAGTCCAAAACCAGGAGCCAGGAGCCTCTTCTGGGTCTTCCACACATGGGTGCATACACCCAAGGCTTTGGCTGTTTTTGACTTCTTTCCCAGGCCACAAGCAGGGAGCTAGAGGGGAAGCAGGGCACCGGGATTAGAACCTGTGACCATATGGGATCCCGGTGTGTGCAAAGCGAGGGCTTTAGCTACTAGGCTACCGTAATGGGCCCTAAATTTGACTCTTTTAGGCACCTCATATCAGTAGAATCATATAATATGAGAGTTCATGGAAAAATTGAATTAAAAGAGAAGTGTATTTAAGTGAAGTTTTTGAAATCCGTGCGTAGAAGGGGTCTTCAAACAGCTCCTAGAAGTATGTATTATGAAAAAATGATACTTCTCTCCAAACTTTTCTTTGTGCTAAATTAAACTTTGCCTTTTACTTCTCTTTTTCCATGAAGTTTTGTAAGTATTTTTATACTTAACTTTCTACAGCTGACTTATATCACAGCATATTCTCAGTGTTCATCCCTATTGTAGTAAAAGCCGGAGTTAGAGAGAGGCAGAGATCTTCCTTCCGTCTGTTGGTTTAGTCTCTGATGGCAACAGCCAAGCTGGGCCAGGCTGAAGCCAGGATTCAGGAGCGTCTTCACTGTCTCCCACATGGTTGAGGGGCCCGGGCTCTTGGGTCAGCTTCCACTGTTTCCTCAGGCGCATTGGAGAAGTTAGCTGCACCCATATGGGATCCCAGCATCAAAAGCAGTGGCTTAAGTTGCTGAGCCACAACACTAGCCCTTTGCTTGTGTTTAAGATTGATACTATTCCCTTGCATAGCTTTCACTTTGCTGATCCCTTCATGGTAGTTTTGTCTTTGTCTTTCGCTCTGCAAATTTTCTTGCTTGTTTGTTTGTTGGGTTTAGATTTACAGAGAGGAGATACAGGGAGAAAAAGCTTCTGCCTTCTGGCTCACTCCCCAAATGGTCTCAATGGCCAGCGCTGAGCTAATCTGGAGCCAGGAGCCAGGAGCCAGGAGCTTCTTCCTGGTCTCCCACACGATGCAGGATCCCAAGGCTCTGGGCCATCCTCTTCTGCTTTCTTAGGCCACAAACAGGGTAGTGGGGCAGCTGGGACACAAATCAGCACCCATATGGGATCCTGGCCTTTGCAAGGTGAGGATTTAGCCACTGAGCCATCATGGTGGGCCCTGTACATTTTCTTTTAATACTTTCA